CCCATCCCATCCCATCCCATCCCATCCCATCCCATCCCATCCCATCCTCACTCATGTCCCTGTTCCCATCCCATTCCATCCCCATTCCTGTTCCACCCCATGCCATCCTCATCCTCATTATCATCTTCATCCCCATCCCCATCACCATGCCATCCCATCCTCACCTTTAACCTCCCCCTCATTCTTACCCTCATCCCATCCCCACTCCCATCCACATCCCCATCCCATTCTGTCCCCATCTTGTCCCCATCCCCAAGGCCACTCCCCCCCTCAGGTCCCTACTCACGAGCTGCTGCCGGGGCTGGCACTGGGCTGGGCTGGCTCCTGCTTCACGATGGGTGAGACGATGGTGGGGTGTGGGATGCCTGAGGGGTGCAGCCCGTGGGTGGGTGGTGGGACCATGTGTGGGGAGAAGCGGCTGGACATCAGGCTGCAGCGGAGGGAGCAAAGTTGTCAGCCCCAAACAGGCACCGACGGCCCCGAATGTCACCCCAAATCCTACTGAGGACCTCCCAGGATTAGAGATCCTCAACCCCGACCTGCTGGGGACTGCTCTGCGGCTGAGCTTGGCACGTGGCACAGTGGAGCCAGGGGCATTGCTCTGTGGCGTCACTGTGGGGCTGTTTTTGGCCAGCATGGGCCACTGCGGTCACCCAAGGCTGGTCTCACCCACACACAGGTCAGGGAGGTCAGCGCCATGGGATGTGGCCAAAACTGTGAGCCAGCTCAGAAATCCCTGAGGAGGTCCCCTGTCCCTGTTCAGAGCCACCCAGCCATGGGGACACACGGGGACATGGGGATCCACGAGGACACAGGGACCCACCTGGACACGGGGACCCATCAGAACCCAGCAGGACACTGGGACCCACCTGGACATGGAGGCGTTCATGGCGAGGGCAGGGTAGGGGTGCCGAAAGCCGCCGGGGGGGATGGAGTACATGGGCTGTCCTTGCCTGCAAATGCACGAGCTGCAGCAGCCACAGGGACAAGGCCCCTCCCTGGGCCACCGGGACCCTCAGCTGGGTCCCCCGCTGATCCCCAGGGGGACAACATCCCACATCTCCACCGCAGCGCAGTCCCTCCCTTCCCCACCCCATCGCACCAGGGCCGCTGGGAACAAAGCAGCCCATGGGGGTGAGGGCCGGGGACGCGGCGGGGCTGGGGCAGGAGGGGCCCATCCTTACTGCGGCACGAGCCAGCCCAGCGGGTGCGGGATCTGACCCACGGCTCCTGGAGACAGCGGGTAGTAGGGGGGCAGCTCGGGGGGGTGCGGCGGGCGCGGGATCCCTGTGGGGGAGCAGCGTTAAATCCACCTCACTGCGAGCACCCAGCCCCCTGCAGATGCCCGTCCCCCTACAGCATTCCCCTCCCTAGAAGCACCCTTTTCCCTTTATCACTTGCCTCCCTACAGGCGCCCGTCTCCCTATAGGCACTCACATCCTTATAAGCACCCATCTCCCCACAAGCACTCACTTCCCCCTGCAAGCGCCCCTCTCCCCGCAAGTGCCCCCCTCCCTATGAGCACCCTACAAGCACGTGCCTCCCTATAGCTGCCCCTCTGCCTATCAGCGCCCATTGCCCTATAAAAGCCTCTGTGCCCCTAGCACCCCTCTCCCCGTAACATCTCCCTTCAAGCACTCACTGCCCTATAAGCTCCCATCTCCCTGTCAGCATCGCTCTCCCCACACACCCCTCTCCTCCCCTCACCTGTTTTGGGGTCGATGTCAGGTGAGAGGTGTGCGGGCGGCGAGCCGGGCGAGAAGTGGTCATTGCTGTAGGTGATGAGCGGCGTCAGGGGGTGCATGTGGGGCGCGTGCTGCACCACCGGGACCTTGTTGGACTGCAGGGGGAGGGGGAGAAAAGGTACAGATCCACCCCAACAACAGCCCCAAAGGCACAGCCCCAAAGCACAGCTCCGAGAAAGCCATCCCCAGCTAGAGCTCTGTTTGCAGCAGGGTTTGGGGCACAGCTCGGTGGGGTTTGGGGTCACATCCCAGTGGGGTTCGGGGCTGCTGTCCTTACCAGGTGTGCGGGTGACGGTGAGCGGCTGTCCTTCAGCGTGGCCCCAGCCGGCACATCCAACAGCGGCCACTTCATCTGCAGGTACTGCCAGGGTAAAGGGCTGTCAGCACAGCACCCCATACCCCACAGCACCCACCCCATGGCCAAGAGCGCTCCACACCCCACAGCATCCCATATCCCACAGCACCGCATCCCACAGCACCCCCAAAAGCCCAAACTCCCACTGCAGGCTCAGCTGAGGACACCCCAAACCCACGGGGCTGACGGCACGTTGGAGTTCCTCTTCTCAGCCCCATCAGCCCCCACAGCCCCATAAAAGCAGATTCTGGGGATGCGGCGGTGGCCATCAGGATGGGATTCTCAGCCACACTGCCCCAGATCAGAGGGCAAAGACACCAAACTGCCAGAATGTGAGAAACCCCCCCAGACCCAAAGCGGGCCAGGGGAGAGGCACGTATGGCACTTCTTGGGGCTTCTTTGGTGCCCCACCAGATCCGTGTGCTCCCGGCAGAGGGAAAACAGAAAGGTGCATTGTGTGGTGCTGGGGAATGCAGCTGGGATGGGATGGAGCAGCTGTGCCAGGAATTTCCCCACCAGGACCCGTTCTGAGCCTGGGCAGCTGGATGGGACGGGGAGGGAAGGGAAGGGAAATGGAGGGGAACGGGAAGGGGAAGGGAAGAAGGGAAGCCCAGCTCGGCTTTAGGAGCATTAACTCTCCCGTGCCTGGAAGGAAGCAGCCTCACCTGCGTCCCCCCCACCCACATCCAGCACCTCTGCTCCATCCCCAGCAGCCCCGCTCTGTTCCCAGTTCCTTTCTCCATCTCCAGTATCCTCTGGTGCCCCCAGGAGCTCCTCGTCCCCTGAACGCTGCTGACGTCCCCAGCCTCCCCTTGTGCTCCAGTATCTCCCCGTCAGGCCGCTACTCCCCACCTCCTGTCCCCCTCCATCCTGAGGACCTTCCCTCCACCTCCAGCATCCCCGTCCTTCCCCAGTATCTCCGCTCCATCCCCAGCCACCCCATCTCCAGTGCCCCCCTCCATTCCCAGGTGGAGGTGACAAACGAGGCGTCCCCACACCCCCGCGTCCACGCCAGGGAACACAGGAGGCGTCCCCTTGTCCGTGCCAGGGTGACACAGGAGCGTCCCCACGTCCCCATGTCCATGTAGGGGTGACCGTGCGGTGCCTGCTGCGGCCCCTCGCCCCCCCGCCGCCCCCCGCCCATCACAAAGGCGCTTTCTGCTCTATTCTGTAAGCGGAGAAGCCGCTGGGGGACGGCGGCCGGGGCAGAGCTGCGTATAAAAGGCTGCTTCTCATTTGGAAGCCGCTTCAGGAGGCCGGGGAGGGGAGAGGAAGGGGGACCCTTTCAAAATATACAAAGAGGGGGGAGCTCGCGAACGGTTCAGTGCTAATGTGGAAAAATGAGGCCCCCCCTCTTCACCCCCCCTCCCCACTCCCACCCCTCAACCCCGGACGCAGCTCCAGCGCAGCACCGCGCGGGGCAGCAGATTGGAGCTATTAAAAAAAAAAAGAAGAGGAAAATAGTTGAAAATCGGTCACATTCCAGAGAGATTAGAGCCAGTTCTGGTTCCTCGTTACCAGCTCCCCCCCC